CACAAATTGTATTAATTTAAACACTGCCTGGCCCTTATATCTAGCCTCTTTTTGGCTAACTCTCACATCTTGCTTTAACCCATATCTAGCAATCTGTGTATCACCACCAGGTCGTAGCTTACTGTTGTAGTAGGAGCGGCGGGCTGCATCCCTGGCACCCGGCCGCCCCCACGGCTAGCTTTACCCGAAATAATTACACGGAAACTGTATTCTTTTAAACACTGCTTGGCCCATTTCTATCTAGCCTCTTCTAGGCTAATTCTCACATATTAATTTAGCCCATTTCTAATCATCTGTGTTGCACCCCAAGGTGCGCTTACCGGGAAGATTCTAGCCTACGTCCATCCTGGGTCAGAGCTGAATCGCGTCTGCCGGGAAGCAGAGCATGGCGTCTCTCTGAGGCGTCTGCCCCCGAGAGGAGAGCTGTCGAGTCTCTGAGCTCACTTCCTCTTCCTCCCAGCATTCTGTTCTGTTTACTCCACCCACCTATGTTCTAAGCTATGAGGCCAAGCAGTTTATTACTTAACCAATGAAATCAACAGATTGATATATGACACTCCCACATCAGTTTACCACGAAGATTCTAACTTACGTCCATCTCAGCCTGGAGAATCATGGTGTCTGCCACATTGCCTTCTTCCCAGCATTCTGTTAGGTCTACTCCGCCTATCTAAGCTGCTGTCCTATCAAAAGGCCAAGGCAGTTTCTTTATTTAACCAATGAAATCAACACAAAACAGAAGAGCCTCCTACATCAAGAAAGAGAACCAAAAGTTCAAAGGTAGAAGGCAAAAGAAGAGGCTCAATGAAAGGGTAGTTTTGGTGTTGACAGGAAACATAACTAGTCGCCAGTGCATGGTTATCCTTCTGTGTCATTAACTCACTAGCCAGCAGTTGAATGGCTAGCCATAAATTGTTGATAACTAGCCATAAATTGAAGCATTTTGCTCTTGTTGTTTTCTTTGAGTTTTTGTTTTTTTACATGATTTGTTCATTTTTATGTGCATCAGTGTTTTGTCTGCATGTATGCATATATGAGGGTGTTAAATTTTCTGGGACTGGAATTAACGGTTGTGAGCTGCCATCTGGGTGCTAGGGATTGAAACTGGGTCCTCTAGAAGAGCAACCAGTGCTCTTAGCTCTGATCTATCTCTCTCTCTCTCTCTCTCTCTCTCCAGCCCATTGGTTTTTATTTTTATTTTATGTGTATGATGGGTGTTTTGCCTGCATGTATGTCTACACCATGTGCTTCAGTGCCCAAAGAGCCTAGAAGAGGGTGTTAATCCCCTGGAATGGAGTTAAAGCTCGTTATTTTGAGGCACTGTGTGGGTGCTGGGATCCAACCCAGGTCCCCTGGAAGAGCAGCCAGTGCTCTTACCCACTGAGCCATCCAGCCTTACTGTGTAGCTCAGGCTAACCTGGAACTTAAAGTCTTTCTGTTTCTGCTTCCTGGGTGTTAGGTTGATGCTTTTATGAAGTGTGGTTTTGGAGTTTGTTTCGTTTATGTTATTGTACACAGTGAGTTGATGACCATTTGGGTTGTTGTTGCTAAGATAAACTGTAGAGGTCAGTAAAGTACATTATACCATATAATCACACACCCCCTCTTTTTTTCCTTTCAAAATTGAATGTCACCTCTAAGAATTGTATCTTGTGAATTTTCCCAAATTATTTTGGGCACTGTTAAATTCAGAGTTTCTGAATTCCTTTTGCCCCCCCCCCCCCATTTTTGTTTGATTTCCTAACAACATGTTAAACAAAAGCATTAAAAAAAACAGATAATTGTGTTTAGGGCTGGTATGTTTGTAATCTTGAGTCTAAACAGTGCATTTCATGAAACCATCTTACAAAATTTCATTTACAGAAGAAAATTCTTAATATAGAGAAACCCTGTCTTGAAAAAAAAAGAAAAAATGCTTTAGAAAACTAACTATATTCGTTAACTTTTTAAAATGAAATCCTATATGCTGTTTAATCATAACTCGTTATAAATTACATACTTAGAGCATTGGAACTTAGCCACAGCACCATAGTACAGCAGTTGTAAAGACACCTTAATGTACCCTCTTGAGAAGCCCATACCCATAGCCTGCATGTATATAGTGTCTTTCCTATGTGTATCTGTCTAAATACTTAATAAGGTCACCAACTTAGCTTCACTTTGACAGGTCTTGAAAGTCTTTCCTGCAGCCTAGCCAAAGGTCTGGCTTTACCTGAGTGAAAAGCCTACTTAACCTTGACAGTTGGATTCATCCTCTTTCCTTCCCTCTCTCCTTTTCTTTATTTCATTTGCTTTTCTGAGGTAGGGTCTCATGTACCCAGAATAGTCTCTTTTTGTTTCCCTCAGACAGGATTTCTCCGTTTAGCCCTGGCTGTCCTGGAACTCCAGACTAGCCTCAAATTTACAGGGATTTACCTGCTAATGCCTCCTGAGTGCTGGGATTAAAGGCATGTGCCACCACCCTCCGCCTAAAAATATATTTTTTTAATTTTAATTATATGTATATGTGTGTAGATATGTATGTAGGTGTGTGCATGTGAGATGTGAGTGTAGGTGCCCATATGGAGTCCAGAAGAGGGTATTAGATCCCCTAAAGCTGGAGTTAGAGGGTTTATTACCTGCTTGACATGGGTGCTTAGAATTGAACCCAGGTCCTCTACGGTAAGTAGTAGTACACTGTCTTAACTGTTGTGATAGGAGCAGCGGGCTGCGTCCAGCCACCCGGCTAGAGCAGTGGGCTATGTTCCTGGCACCCGGCCGCCCGCATGGCTAGCTTATGCCCCGAAATAATTACATGGAAACTGTATTCTTTTTAACATTGCTTGGCCCATTTGTTATAACCTCTTATTGGTTAGCTCTTACATATTGATCTAACCTATTTTTAATAATGAACCATCTTTCCAGCCCCTTTTGTTTGTTTTCTGAAATGTGATCTTACTATATATTTCCCAAGTTGATCTTGAACTTCTTGTAGTATCAAGCAGTTTTCCTGTCACAGCCTCTTGAGTAACTGGGACTACATGTTTGTGCTACATGTAGTGTCCGCTATGCCTCCATGATTTGCTTTTGTTTTGTTTTGGTTTTTTTAATTTATTTATTTTTGTATTTTGAGACACGCTCTCTGTGTGTGTATCCCTGACTACCCTGGAACTCCCTAAATAAACCAGGCTGGCTTCAAACTCACAGATCTACCTGCTTTGGCTTCTTCTGAATGTTGGAATTGAAGACCTTTGCTGCTAACCAAGCTCATGGTTTGCTTTTTAAAATAACTCTTTTAAAAATGAGGTTTTATCATTATCTTATATATCTGGATGCTTTTTTGTGTGTGTGTACCACATGTGTGCCTAGTGCCATCAGAAACCAGAAGAGGGTGTTGGATTCTTAAAGTTAAAGGTAATTGTGAGCCACCAAGGGAATGTGGGAATCAAGCCTGTATCCTCTGGAAGAACAGCCTGTATTCTTTTTTTTTTTTTTTTTTTTTTTTTTTTTTGGTTTTTCGAGACAGGGTTTCTCTGTGGTTTTGGAGCCTGTCCTGGAAATTCTTAACGGCCAAGCAGTCTCCCCAGCCCTAAAATAGTCTTCAAAGTAAAATATGGGAGAATACCTGACTATATTGTATGCTATTGTAATGTATGTATTTTTTTTCTCTTGCTTGTTTTGTATACTAATAAAATAGCCTTAGAATCTTCAAAGTGGTATTTATCTTTCCATATGCTAATAAATTGACTTGTTGGCTGACAGCCCCTGGGTAGTTTTTTTTTATTCCTTTAGGTGTTAACCAGGGTTATTCTGTCTCTCTGTCTGGAAGAATTGTACTCCTTTTGATATGGCAGTAGAACTTAATGGGCAGGAGTCCTGGTGGACAAATCTTTTACAATAGCCCTAAAGTTCTCTTTATCTTAGGCTTACAGCTTTATTTTTCTTTATTTCTAGAAAATCTGGCTAGTATACTACTTTATCTTCTAGTCATATGTGTAGCAGGATTTCTTTATCTAAATTCTACTTTTGTGCAACTTTACTTTTCCAGACCAAGTTTATTGGTGAATCCTTTATAACACTAGTTTATCATTTCTAGCTGCTCCATCAGTAGCAGAGGTGAGGGGTGTGGTGTGCTCTTTGAAGCTCTACTCCCCTTATTTGCCATTGCCCTGTGCTCTCTTTATCTGTGTCCTCTGCAATATCTTTTTTCATGTTTTTGTTTTGTTTGAGATAGAGTCTCGTTCTGTAACACAGGCTGGCCTCAGAATTGCGGTATTCCTTCTGCTTTAGCATCCTGAATGTAGGATTATAGGCATGTAGTACCACACCTGGCTGTAATGCCTTTTTTTTTTTTTTTTCGAGACAGGGTTTCTCCGTAGCTTTTGGTTCCTGTCCTGGCACTAGCTCTTTCTAGACCAGGCTGGCCTCGAACTCACAGAGATCCGCCTGCCTCTGCCTCCTGAGTGCTGGAATTAGGTGTGTGCCTCCACCACCTGGCTATTTATTTATTTTTCAAAACAGGGTACATGGTTCTGGTTGACCTGGAATTCATTATGTAAGCCAGCTGTCCTTGAATTTGTGGTAATTCTCCTGCCCCTGCCTCTTGAGTGCTGGAATTATAAACATGTACCATCATGCGTTATCTAAACTAGTAAATGTAAAGATTCCTTGAGTTCTGTAAAACATTCTAGGAAATAACTCTAGGAAGGAATCAGGGACCCTTGATTTATAGCTAGTTGATAAGAAGCATGGGTGAAACAAGCTGGGAGGAGTTAGGGTGGCATTGGAAGCAGGGCAGTTGGACACACACACACCCCCAACGCACATACATACTCACACACATACACAGTCTGATGTCAGAAGCACATTATTAAGAGTTAAAAGGAAACTGAATTTGTTATTCTTATATCAAGATTATGGGGTTTTTTTGTTTTGTTTTAGTTCCAGCCAATGGGAATTGAGTTACAGATAATTTTTAAAGATACTAGGAAGTTCTGACTGGTTACTTTTTAATTCTGCAGTTGTCTCAGGTACTGATGGCCATGCAAGAAAAATATCCAAATGACAGGTCTTCTCATGCTACTTCACCAGGTCAGTACTCTTCTGTATTCAGTTTTGTCTTCTGCTATATCGAGAGAGAGAGAGAGAGAGAGAGAGAGAGAGAGAGAGAGAGAGAGAGAGAGAGTGTGTGTGTGTGTGTGTGTGTGTTTTGGGTTCTTTTGTGCATGTGGAGTCGAGAGGTTATCTTCCGTGTCTGTGAGACAGAGTTCTGTGTGCAGTAGAGGGAAACAAACAGCATTGATAACTGTGTTTCACTCAACCTATTAGTCCACAAAGATTGGAATTCTTGTATACCAGCTGTGGGGATGTATCTCTAGATCATGGTGGTGCATCCCACACACAGCTCTAGGGAGACAGGCAGATCGCAGGTTCAAGACTATCCTGGGCTGTCTGTGCATCCAGAATCTACTTCAAGAGAGAAATAATATATTTGTTTTGTTTTTTGGTGTTGTTAAGCTTTGAACCCTGAACTTTGTAGAAGTAAAACAAGAACTCTGCCATTGAGCTACATCTCCCTCGAAAGAAAGAAAGGAATTAACGAATGATAAAACAAGTCAGTAACACACATACTTGAGGACAGGCAGGAGGATCAAGAGTTCAAAGGCATAGGTGATATTGTCTCAAAAACAAAAATAATTTGGATTTAAGTCTTTCTAGGATTTGCTTTGTGTTTTGTTTGATTCTTACTGATTTTGTAGACAAGAGCTTACTGTGTAGTCCAGGCTGGCCTCAAACTTGGGAACATTTTGTTTTAGCTAAAATACTGGCTTTGTTAGTGTATTAATAAATTTTGTAAAGATTTTTTTAAATTTTTTTTTAAAAATTAAATGTATGTGTGGGTATGTGCACGTGAGTATAGGTGTTAGGCCAGGCCAGAAGCAGGTGATAAATTCCCTCTAGAGCTGAAGTCACAGGTAGCTGTGAGCCACCCAAAGTAGGTGCTGGGTAGTGAACTTGGATACTCAATGAGAGCAGTTTGCTTTAACTACTGAGCCATTTCTATGACTGTTAATTTTAAAAAAAATCATAATCTGACCTACCTGTTGGTATATGCAACAAGCTTTGAAGTCAAATTCTACTAGTCTTGCTTTTTCTTACATGCTCAGAAAGTAAAGTGTTTTAATTTTTTACATTAAGAGAATTTTTTTGACTATTTTGTGTGTATGCCTGTTCTGCCTGCATGTATGTCTATGCACAAGTACATGCCTGATGCCCAGAAGAGGGCCTTAGATCCCATGGAACTGGAGATATGGATGGTTGTGAAACATGTGGGTGCTGGGTATCAAATCTGGGTCCCCTGGGAGAGTAACCAACCAGTGCTCTTAATTGGTGAACCATCTCTCCGGCCTGTTAGGTGTTTTCTCTGTATTACTACCCTCAAGATAACACCTTTTCTTTCTTTCTTTTCCTTTTTTTTTTTTTTTTGGATACAGGGTCTCTCTATGTAACCCTGGCTAACCTTGAACCCAAAGAGACCTGTCTCTGCTAGAATTAAAGGCACGTACCACCTGGCTGGCCCACTTTAAACTTTTTAGATTGACTTCAATCTAAATGTATCTGGATTGACCTGTTAAGGGTAACCCTGGTTCTGACTAACAATAGTTGTTTTTTTTTTAATATTTATTTATTTATTTATTATGTATACAATATTCTGTCTGTGTGTATGTCTGCAGGCCAGAAGAGGGCACCAGACCTCATTACAGATGGTTGTGAGCCACCATGTGGTTGCTGGGAATTGAACTCAGGACCTTTGGAAGAGCAGGCAATGCTCTTAACCACTGAGCCATCTCTCCAGCCCCTAACAATCGTTTTCAACGAGGAACTAAAGTATTGTGTGACCTTGGCACATGTAGGATAATTCACGCTATCGTGATTGAATGAGGGTTGCTGCTGGTATTTAGTTTGTAGAGGCCAGTGATATTAAACCATTCTGTGGTGTCTAGACCACATAAGTTATACATTGAAGAATATTTGTGCTCAGAATGCTAACAGCCCCCAATCTGAAAGCATGTAAAGGAATGTGTGTAGATATTGGACCTGGACATGTACATAAAAGCTCTCTTGTCTGTAAATTAAAGTATTAAAGTATAAAGATATATATATTGTATGTGTGTGTGAGGGTGTGAGGTAGAACCCTATTGCAGTGACTGGTCTGGAAATGGCTATGTAAATGTGGCTGTCATTGAACTTGGAGTGACCTTTCTTCCTCCCAAGTACAGTATTATAGATGTGTGCCACCATGCCAGGCTTCTTGTTAGGTACCCATCTTTCAGCATTCTCATGTCTCATGTATTTCCATTAAACATCAACTAACTCAGCCTGATGGTGGTAGCATATCTTTAATCCCAGCACTCGGGAAGCAGAGGCAGGCAGATCTCTGAGTTTGAGGCAGATCTCTGGTCTATAGAACAAGTTCCAGGACAGCTAAGGCTACACAGAGAGACCCTGTCTTGAAAACAAAACAGAATGGGGCTGTAGAGATGGCTCAGATGTTAAGAGCACTGGCTACTCTTTCAGAGGACCTGGGTTCAATTGCCAGTATCCACATGGCTGCTCACAACTATAGATCTAGTTCAAGGGGTTCTGACATCCTCACACAGACATACATGCAGGAAAACACCACATAAAATAAAAATAAATAAAACAAAACAAAAAAGTTTTGAAATGGTTGTTACCAGGCTTTTAGAATGCAATTTCTCATTTGCTGTGGCAATAAACCATAAAAACCCATCCATCTAGGGTTTTCCATGTACTGCTATGTGAGTAGGCAACCTTTTGGGAGCATTTTTATTGCTGTTGAGGTTTTAAGAATCACATTGCAAATTATCACTATAGTGCATACTTAGAGCAACAATCTATTGTATATCCTTCTATGTTGCTAGTGATAAGGTGTTGTAATGTAGGTAGGTCAAACTGAGGTAGAATGTAGCTCCAGGTACTTAGTTGATTACTTCCATGTTCTTGTCATATAGGATGAATAACATAACTGGATTAATTCCCAATTATTTGAAAAAGGGTTATCTTGAGAAATTGAAACTTCAGCAACATGGATGGACAATGAAGGAATTACATGTAAAATCCCCTAAATAAAAATTTACTGACTTTAACCCCCCCAAAAAAGTACTTAATTAAGTTTCATCAGCTGGTTTACACCAAAGTGAATAATGTCTCTTATTACAGGTTCCAATGTGATTCAAAAAAGCAGTTCTCTGGGAACTGAATGGCAGACACCAGTTATCTCAGAGGCCTTTCGTAGCCGCTTCAGCCGTTGTTCAAGCATAGCTGACAGTGGGGACACAGCCATTGGAACATCATGCTCAGACATTGCAGAAGGTAAGGTTGGATTTGTGATTGGATTGTCAACATACGCTGCCATTTCAGTTTGAATTCCACATATATTGTCATCTACAGAATGGTCATAGGGTCAAGCTATCCATTTATGGAATCTGAATAATAATGAGTAATTATTTCTTATTTTTTAATATCACTAAATTTAGATGTCTTACCATGGCATGAATACGCAGACCTCTTTTTTGTTTGTTTTTTGTTTCTGTGGTACTGGAAATTGAATCTTGGGCCCTTACAAGTGCTGGGTAAGAGTTCTGCCAGTCAGGCCTAGCCCTTGTCTATTGTTTTTTATTCATGGTCTCTTTTTTCTTTAATTTAGGCCCGTTTGTGTGCTGTTCCCATTCTTTAGCTGCTTCTACTAGCTATACCAGTTTTACTACTGTGCATGTTCCAGTAGTCCTACGAGACTGTCTCCATCCCTCTCCTTAATTGATCCCTCCCATATAACATTTTTGTATCTTTAATATCTCTGCCACTTGTTTTTGCACTGAAATAACAATTACCAATCAGTACTTTACAAGGCATATAGGTGGGGCCTAGAGGGCAGAAGGTCTAAAGATAATAATTATTATTTATCGGGCACAGACTTTTGATCCCAGCACTCAGAAGGTAGAAGCAGGCAGGTCTGTGAGTTCAAAACCAGCTTGATTTGATTTACAGAGTTCAGGACAACCAAAGCTACATAGTGAGACCACGTCTCCTAAAAAAAACAAAGCAAATAAACAAAAAATTAGTATTTATGGGGCTGGACTGATGACTCACCAATTAAAAGCACTACTTCTTCTAAAGGACCCAAGTCTATTTTCTAGCACCCACATCAGGTTACTCACAACAATCTGTAACTTTAGTTACAGGGAATCGTGTGGTACACATGCACATATGCAGACAGAACACTCATATGAATAAAGTAAAACTTTTTTTAAAAATTTGTGTGTATTAATTTTTTGGTTTTGGGAACAATGTCTTGTGTAGACCAGACTGTCTTTGAACTTGCTGTTGTCAGGAATAACCTGATCTACTTGCACCCACCTCCTAAGTGCTTGTATTACAGGTGTGTGCCACTGTGGCCAGCTTTTTATTAATATGCATTAATAAAAATATAATAAAGTAGGAATGGTAGCACACTAATTCAAGACCAGCTTGGGCTACATAGCAAGATCCTGTTTCAAAAATAAAAAAGTACTGTGTGCACATGTATGAACAAATGATCTGGCAATTCCTACAAAGATGAAATATAAAGATTTTTCTTTTTCCTTCTTTGAGACAAGTCTCATGTATTCCATCTTAGCTTCAAACTCCCTATATAGCTAAGAATGAACTTGAACTTCTGATTCTACTCCAGACTTGTGCCACCATGCCTGATTTTTATGGTACTAGGGATCAAACCCACATGTTTCATGCATGTTAGACAAGTGTTCTACCAACTGAGATATATCCTCCTGAAGATAACTTTTAAGCTAATGATTATACTCTTAGGGTTATAGCCAAGAGAAATGAAAACATATGTACATGAATGTTCATAGCAGCCTTATTCATAATAAACAAAAAGTTGAAACACATTCACAGCAGATGAATGGTTATATATCCATATAAGACCTTAGAATAAAATAAATGAAATACTCAGGTGGTTTGAATTATATGAACCTTAAAAGCATTAAACAAAGTTAATAAAAAAACAGAAAAGATTCATATTACAATGATTTTTAACATTTCTTTTCTCTCTCTCTCTCTCTCTCTCTCTCTCTCTCTTGTGTGTCTGTGTGAATTATACCTGTGATCACATGCCATGGTACAGTACAGTGTGGTGGTCAAAAGTCTGTTTGTGACAGTCAGTTCTCTCTACCATATGAGTCCCAGGGAACTTAAGTTGTCAGGATTGGCGGTAAAAGCATGAGGGAAAGTGCCTTTAACTGCTGAGTCATCTCACTGGCTCTGGTTGGTCAGTTTATTTGTTGGGACAGTCTCATGTATTTCGGGCTTGCCACGTAACTGAGAATGACATGAAACATCTGCCTCTGTCTCCTAAATGCTGGAACTACCTCACTTTCTGAAAATTGGCATATACTATACACCCAGTTTAAGCAGTGTTAGAGCCTGAACCCAGGACTCTGCATGCTAGACAAGCATAGGTGGTCTTCCAGCTAGACTAGAGCACACTGGCTCAGACTGGTTGACCAGCAGGTTTCAAGGGCCCTCCTGTCTTGGTCTCCCCGGCGCTGGCATGAAAGGCTTTTGTTTTCTTGCTCCGCTTTTACGTGGGTGCTTGTAAGAGGAGACTGTTCCTTCATTTCCTGGCCACCTGGACGCAAATAATCACACAGAAGCTATATTAATTACAACACTGTTTGGCCACTAGCTTATGCATATTTCTAGAAAATTCTTTCATCTTAAATTAACCCATTTCTCTTAATTTGTGAGTCACCATGAGGCTGTGACCTACCTGTAAGGTTCTGACTGGCAGCTGGCATCTTTCTCCTTCAGCAGCTACATGGCGTCTCCCCAACTCCGCCTGCTCTCTCTCTACATCTCTGCTTGGATTTTCTGCCTGGCTTTACTGTTAGGCCATTGGCCGAAGGCAGCTTCTTTATTAACCAATAGTAATAAAACATTCATTGCTTACAGAGGGGAATCCCACATCAGGTGCTGGTTAGTTGAACTCAAGTCTCCATAATCTCCACTGCGAGTACTTTACCAACTGAGCGATCTCCCCCAGCCTGCTTTTCTGCCCTTTTTGTTTATATACTGTGACTGTGTGTATTGCCAGAAATCAACCTGAGGACTTTTGAACATGTTAGGCAATTGCTCTATACCCAGTCCTATGCCATGAGGTTTTGATTTCTTTAAATTTTTTGAGACAATGTCTCATATAGTAGCCCAGGCTAACTTTGAAATCACAATGTAGCCAAAGATAGGAAAACAACTGATAGATTACAGGCACTCACTACTTGATTTTTTAGTTAGGCTTTTTAGATTTCAAATCTGTACAAATATCATAAAGTCACATTTATATCCCTGTTCCACTCCAGTATTTACACCAGTTTTGGTCCCACTGGCTTCAGAACAGAATTATTCAACCTGTAGTTGCTGGGCTGAAACAAACTAGCATTCTTGGATAACCAGTGTGGAATGTGGCCAGAACTGATTGATTTTAGCAGTAACTATTTCCATTCCATGAAAGGAGGGTTGCTGGGAAGAATGGACTGTTTTTTGAGGGGACTGGATGTGACTAAGAGATTTAGAATTATACCTTTGAAATATCAAATGCTTCATAGTTTGAGGAACTGTGGTTGTCTATACTTAAAATCCCATAGACTAAATCTGGAATACCTTTGAAAATCACAGAATATAGTGCAAGTTTGAAAATGAGTGTTGTTATTACTCTCTTTCAGAATGCTCTAAAAGACAAAGCAGACTTGGGGCGGATTGCTATTTTAAAGCATAGGTGTGAGTTGGTTGTCTTGGCAGCCCTTCCAGTCTATCTTCCTCCATTACCATGCTGTGGGAACAGGCTGGGGGCCTCTTAGGAGAGCATTAGGATGGTGCTCTCATCCTCAAGCTGATACCTAGGATATCAGATAGAGTCTACTGGTCTTAGACTCTATCCTTTAACCTTTAACTCATTTTGTATTTAAGTCCTAAACTTCAAAATCTGTCCATTAACTCAGAAATTTCCTCTCCTCCCCCCGCCCCCCGAGACAGGGTTTCTCTGTAGTTTTGGAACCTGTCCTAGAACTAGCTCTTGTAGACCAGGCTGGCCTTGAACATACAGAGATCCGCCCGTCTCTGCCTCCCAAGTGCTGGGATTAAAGGCGTGCGCCACCATCACTGAGACTAATGCATATTACCAGAGATTATTCAGGGTTTAGGAGGAATTCTGTGTGCTTGTTTGGTTTTGAACAGAGTGACTCCATAGCCCAGCCTGCCTGCATCTTTATATGTACTCAAACTGGTCTTGAATTTGTAGTCAGCCTCCCAGGTGTGCCAGGATTATAGGTATGTATAGGTATAAACTCATTTTAGACTTAGTTTTTTGGGTTTTGGGGTTTTTGTTTTGTTTTGTTTTAGAATAATCTTTTTTTATACCTCTAGGATAACCTGAATATAGGAAGTTGGATACTTCACATATATTACAAGGGTAACTTGGATTGGTATGTGTTTGGTTTTTGTTACTTGTTTGGTTTTGGAGATGTTTTGTTTTGAGACTGGATCTCCTCATTATAAACTCAGGCTGGCTGTCAGCTAGCTTTGTAGCCCAGGTGGGCCTCAAATCAAAATTTAGTCTGAAAAACAGTGTAAAATCACATTATATAATACAGACAAGTGGGCAAGTGGAGAACAAAATACAAAATAGAAGATTTCTGTATTTACTCATTTGAGCATGCTCAGTGTGCTAGGGTGAAACCTGAGAGTTACTAAGAATAACCTTGAATGTCCGGGCAGTCGACTCTGGGGTGTGGGAGGGAACACTCCTAACTCAGATGCTGTGCTCCTGCCCTGGACCCCAGCAGCACCGTCTGTCTCTTCTGTCTTCAGGTGGCTTGGACTCATTGCTTGCTTTCACTGAGGAGCCTTTGGAGGTCAGAGGGCTTGGTGCTCCCTGGAAGGAATTTTATTTTCATTAGATTAGATTATAAGTTAGATTTGTTCAGCTTCCAGAAGAGTAGGGCCTAATGCATTTCCTTTATAGTAAGTGAATTTCTTTTCAAGTTAGTTTTCAGCTTTGCTTGATGCCCACCAAGAGTTTATTGAAATACAGTGGACGTAAGTTAGAAATGAAGCCATTGTTGTCTTTTGCTGGCATATCTTATAAATAATAGCATTTGAGATACTGGAACACAACATTTCTCAAGTTGTTGTGTCTCCTTGCTTGATTTTCTTTTTTTTTTTTAGGGGACAAGGATGGTACTCTAGCCACAGCTGGCCCAGAACTGGCAGTGTAGCCCTTACTGACCTCAAACTCAGGACAGTTCTTATGCTTCTACCTCCCAAGTGCTAGAATTACAGGCATGAACCTCCACTTCTAAGTCCTACCTGCTTCTTCTGATAGGACTCTCTTCCTTGGTCTGAAGACAAGTAGAGAACATCTGGCATAGCAGTCAAACAAGAAAGCTTGGTTTTTAATTTTGACTCATGGGAGACTCTTATCTCTACAGATTTCTGCAGCTCAAGTGGCAGCCCTTCTTTCCAGCCAATCAAAAGCCACATAACCATTCCAACAGCCCATGTGATGCCTTCTACTTTGGGGGCTTCTCCTGCCAAACCAAATTCTACACCTTCTGGGCCTTCTTCCTCTAAACTCCCCTTGTCAAGCTTGACTGAAGGTGTGGGGATGACAAGAAATGGAGACTTCGGTGCAGTGAAACGTTCTCCAGGCCTGTCAAGAGATTTCATGTATCTCCCTAGTGCTGCTGGAGAAAATGGGATTCAGCAGTCCTGGTTTCCAGCAGTCGGCCATGAAAGAGAGGGAGAGTTGAGGAAGTTTGATATTCCTAGCATGGAGTCTACTCTAAACCAGCCAGCCATGGTAGAGACATTATATTCAGATCCACATTTCCGAGGTCACTTCCCCAACCCAAGATCTGATGCAAATAAGGATGTATACAAAGTATTGCCAGAATCTAAGAAGGCACCAGGCAGTGGTGCAGTATTTGAACGGAATGGACCACATGCTAGCAACAGTGGAGTGCTCCCTTTGGGACTCCAGCCTGCTCCTGGCCTTTCCAAGTCACTATCCTCTCAGGTGTGGCAACCAAGTCCTGACCCTTGGCATCCTGGAGAACAGTCATGTGAACTCAGTACTTGTCGACAGCAGTTGGAATTGATTCGTTTACAGATGGAACAAATGCAGGTAGAGAACCATTTCTTGCATTTTGCATGTTGTTTTCCTCCTTAAACCTCATAACCTTTGTCTTATAAGTTTTAGGGTTTGTTTTGTTTTATTTTGTGTGTTTGTTTTGGTTTTTTGAGACAGGGTTTCTCTGTATAACCCTGGCTGTATTATTAATTGCTATGTGAGTATTTGAGCGTGGGTTTGTGCATTGAATGCAGTCACAGAGAAGGCAGAAGAGGGCGTGGATCCCATGGAACTGGGGTTAACGGCAGTTGTGAGTCACCTGACATGGATGCTAGGAACCGAACTCAGGTTTTCTTTATTTTTACATGCTCTCTCTTAATTGCAGAGCCATATCTTCAGCCTACTTTGTACTTATAAGTTTTAACTCTAAAGAAAACATTTGTGAGAAAAGATGATGTTTGTAGACAGAAAATGAAAATGTGAGTTTTTGACCATTAAGTCTGTTGGTGGTCTGATAAATGACCAGACCAGATAAGTACTCCAAAGTAGAGAATTATGAAGGAAAGCTCAAAGCTTGCTGTATAGACCAGGTGGGTCTTGAACTCACAGAGATCCACCTACCTCTGCCTACCCAGGTGATGGAATTAAAGGCCGTCAAGCCCAGCCCTAAATAAAGGTCATCTTTGAGGGGCCAGTGAGATTGGTTAGTAGGTAAAGACACTGCTGTAACAAGCCTGGAACAGTGAATTCCATTCCCAGACCCACATATCACATATGTTCTTCCTCTCTCTGTCTCTGTCTGTCTGTCTTTCTGTCTCTCTCTCTCTCTCTCTCTCTCTCTCACACACACACACACACACACACACACACACACACACATACACACTCACAATCACCATCAACATTTGAAGCTGAGTGTGGTGTCTCTCTTATGAATTGGAGGCCAGCTTGATCTACATAGTGAGTAGATGCATAGGCCAACTAGGACTGCCTCAAAAAACAGCAGTGCTGGAGGGATGGGGAATGTCTTTGAACTCTTGGTTGGTTGGTTTCTTTTTTGTGCTGCTGAAGAGTGAGAAGGAAGGAAGTGGGGTATATTCTCCTGTCCTGGTCTGTAAGCTCCTGATTTAATGACTGACCTTAGAACTAGAGACTTTCTGAGCAGAGTGTTTAGTTGGCAGACATCCCCCTGGCAAGTTCTTTCCAGTAATGCATCAGAGCTAAAATTATTTTTAAAACATTGACATTATCAGTCTGAGCCAGACTTCCAATCCTAACTGGGTACTGCTCAGGTGTTCCCAGGTACCTGTGGTTAAGCTCAAGCCCAGCTGGCCTGTTTGTCTTCCAGTTTCAGAATGGAGCCGTCTGTCACCATCCTGCTGCTTTTGCTCCCTTACTGCCTACCTTAGAGCCAGCACAGTGGATCAGCATCTTGAACAGTAATGAGCATCTTCTGAAGGAAAAGGACCTCCTCATTGACAAGTAAGATGGTGGGGTGCTGCAAGACAGGCTCTGCTGTCGGGTCTACCCAAGAGTGAGCTCTTCCCAAGAGCAGGTTATGCCTGTTCCCTACTATCCATTGTTAAGGCCCATTGTTTAGGCCCGTGCCTGGCTGATGGGCAGCTTGCTCTTGTCACTTATTAATGTGATAGGCTAGTCTCTCTGCAGGGCCACTGTAGAGGGCTTTCAAGGAGTGACTGGTTTATGGCAAATCTTTTCTCGTTTTTCCCCTTAATCTTTTTCTTATGTGATCCTACCCCTTCAGCAAAATATAATGTCCAGCATACATTTGTGGTATAGTAGTGTAGCATGCATAGCTGCCTTCCAAACTGTGGTATCTAGAATCAAGATCTAAGTATTGTTACTCTTCTATCTAAGGAAAGGGGCTCACACTGTAAAGTAGTTTAATGTCAGGATCTCAAATCTGACTGTTGGCTTTTGCAGGCAGAGGAAACATATCTCTCAGTTGGAGCAGAAAGTACGAGAAAGTGAACTACAAGTCCACAGTGCTCTTTTGGGCCGTCCTGCCCCTTTTGGGGATGTCTGCTTATTGAGGCTACAGGTAAATATAGCCCCTAGGGCAGCATTCTTCTTACTATAATGTATTTTCCCTGTGCTTAGATAGCCAGGAAATATAAGACATCAAATGACAAAGGTGCCCTCTCCTTAAAAAGTAAGAATCTTACTTTGCTCGGCTCTTGTGAGGTTAGAAAAAGTGAAAACCGGGCTGGAGAGATGGCTCAGTGGTTAAGAGCATTGCCTGCTCTTCCAAAGGTCCTGAGTTCAATTCCCAGCAACCACATGGTGGCTCACAACCATCTGTAATAAGGTCTGGTGTGTATGCCTCTTCTGGCCTGCAGGCTTACACACAGATAGAATATTGTATACATAACAAATAAATAAATATTTAAAAAAGAAAAGGGGAAAACCAGGTGAGAGTTCAGATGTCTTGGTATCAGAAGATACATGGGAAGAAAGGAAGGCAAAGCACTGTAGATAGTAAGGTCCTAGCATTGAATAATATTCTTTTTTTATTATTATTATGTATACAATATTCTGTCTGTGTGTATATCTGCAGGCCAGAAGAAGGCACCAGATCTCATTACAGATGGTGGTGAGCCACCATGTGGTTGCTGGGAATTGAACTCAGGACCTTTGGAAGAGCAGGCAATGCTCTTAACCACTGAGCCATCTCTCCAGCCCCCAAATAATATTCTTAGAAGGCTTCGTGTTTTATATGTTTGTTTTTATGTATGATTGGAGTTTAAAAAAATTTATGTGTATGAGTGTGTTGCCTGAATGTATTTGTGCGCACGGCATTCATGCCTGCTGCCTGGGGAAGTCAGAATAGGATGTGCAAGAGCAACAAATAATCTAAATGATCTACCATCTCCAGCCCTTGTATTTGGCTATTTTGACTACATGTATGTCTGTGTACCACTTGGCATGTGTGTTATTTGTGAAAGCTAGAAAAGAGCATATAACTCCCTGGATTTAGAGTTATACATGTAGATTTTAGAATCAAACCCAGGTCCTCTGGAGGAGCTTCCAGTGCTTCTAACTGCTGAGCATGTCTCCAGCTTTATTCTTAGAAGTCTTTTTATTTGGCTTGCTTGTTTGTTGTTTTTGTTGGTTTTTCAGGTCAGGGTTTCTCTGTTGTAGCTTTAGCTGTCTTAGAATTTACTCTATAGACCAGGCTGGCCTCAAACTCGGAGATCCGTCTGCATCTGCCTCCCTTATGTTGGAGTTAAAGGATTGAACCACCACTGCCAGACATTCTTAGAAGTCTCAGTCTGCAAATCTATATTTTGCCTGTATGTATGTATGTGTACCATGTGTGTGCCTGGTGCCCGTGGAAGTCAGAAGGGTCTTCAGATCTGGAGCTGGGATTAGGCATGGATGTTAGCTGCGATTTGGGTGGTGGGAACTGGACCCAGGTCCTCTGTAAGAGTAGCCAGGGCTCTTAACTACTGAGGCAAATCTCCATCCCTAGGTATTGCTGTTAAAAGTCATTGCCGCGTGATGATGGTGCACACCTTTAATCCCAGCACTCGGGAGGCAGAGGCAGGCGGATCTCTGAGTTCAAGACCAGCCTGGTCTACAAGAGCTAGTTCCAGGACAGGCTCCAAAACCACAGAGAAACCCTGTCTCGAAAAAGAAAAAAAAGTGTTTCTCAAATTTGAGTGCATATCAGAGTTACTTGGAGGGCTTTCTCACAGCATAGGTAGGATCTGTCCCTAGAATTTCTGATTCAGTGGACCAGTGAGTAAGATTCTAAAACTTATCAAATTCCAGTAACAAATGATACTGACTCTTGGTCCTGGAGAAGCACTGCCTGAAGAAACCATTGGAGAAGGATGGTGCTTGACCTAGAGTATAATGGGAAATGTATAATTACAGGGAACCAGTTACATAGTAAGAATGTTTTTGGCAGGAGTTGCAGCGAGAGAACACTTTCTTACGGGCACAGTTTGCCCAGAAGACAGAAGCCTTGAGCAAAGAGAAGATGGAGCTTGAAAAGAAACTCTCTGCTTCAGAAGTTGAAATTCAGCTCATCAGGGAGTCTCTCAAAGTGACACTGCAGAAGCATTCGGAGGAGGGGAAGAAACAGGAAGAAAGGGTGAGCTGAGAAGCCACTGGCTCTAAACCACGAGAGAGTTTGGTAATCAGCCCTCTCTACCAAATAGTCTCTTTAGTCTGTTCCCCGAACCAAGAGAAGCCAGTTAGGTGGGACTCTCCATCGACTTCTCACACAGGGTATCTAGAGGTGAACCTCTGCTTTTCTGTATGCTATAAGACTCCTCAAGCCAGGGAGAGGTGAATAGTCCCTCACTAGCCCAAGGTCTGTTGTGCTGCCAGCTTTCTGGAGGGAAACCAGCCTGGGCAGTTGTATCAGGTGACACATTGCAGGAGGTAACATTAACTCCATTCAGTCTGCTTTCTCTTCATCCTGCTGAAAAGTAGAGAAAGATTTCATGCTCGCCGCTAGATTGAGTTTGTCAGTGCTCTTAGAGCTCCTTAGTGGAAAATTGGTCACCATTGGGGAAGATCTTTTAAAATTTTGGGGTTTCGTTGGTACTCCAATTCACAGCTTTCTCTCAAAATATTTTTTTTTTTTTTAAGATTTATACCTGCAGGCCAGAAGAGGGCACCAGGTCTCATTATGGATGGCTGTGAGTCACCATGTGGTTGCTGAGAATTGAACTCAGGTCCTCTAGAAGAGCAACCAGTGCTCTTAATCGCTGAGCTATCTCTCCAGCCCCCTCTAAAGATATTCTTGGGGGACTAATTTAACTCTTGGCTACTTGTATCAAAACCAGTTACAACAGCACTTTTTTAAAAATCTCATTTGTTGCCGGGTGGTGGTGGCACACGCCTTTAATCCCAGCACTTGGGAGGCAGAGGCAGGCGGATCTCTGTGAGTTCGAGACCAGCCTGGTCTACAAGAGCTAGTTCCAGGACAGACTCCAAAACCACAGAGAAATCCTGCCTCGAAAAACCAAAAAAAAAAAATCTCATTTGTTTATTATGGGGGCGTGTACACGGATGACAACCTATGGGAATTGGTTCTCTTCTTCCACTGTGTGGGTACTGGGAATTGAACACAGGTTGTCAGACTTGGTGGCAAGTGCCTTTACCCATTGAGCCATTTCACCAGCTTTTTTGTTTTGTTTTGAGATGAAGATCTCACTGTGTTGTCTAGACTGGCCTTGATTTCATAGAAATTCACCTGTTTCTGCCACACCAGGGTTTGTTTTTTTATTTTTATTTTTTATTTTTTTGCTGTTGTATTCAGTTCAGGACTCCAGCCCATATGTTGATACCACCTACATTTAGGGTTTGTCTTTCCACCTTAGGTAACCTAATCTAGATAAATCTCTCACAGATGTGGCAAAGGCTTATCTCCTCAGAGGTTCTAGATCCTAAAGTCAAAAGGACTAACTGTATGACTTTTCAGTTGTGTGCAGTGAGATAGCTCAGTGGGTAAAAGGCTTTCTGCAAAAGTCTGATGACCTGAATTCAGTCCCTAGTTCCACAAGGAAGAGAGAACCAACTCCTGAAGTTATGCTTTGACCTCTGCATGTGTGCCACATGTGCCCCGCATACCATACATATGCACAATAACTAATAAAATACTTTTAAAGGGGAAACATATCAGGCATATTGGTGCATGACTTTAATCTCAACACTCAGGAGGCAGAGGCAGACATACTTCTATGAGTTTGTGACCAGCCTTGTCTATAGCAAGTTTCTTGGCCAACTAAGGCTACATAGTGAGACCCTGTCACCAAAAAATGAGGAAGGTTTGACCTTTGGATTCTCAGTGCTGACAGCCAACAGGACTTAGAGTCTTGGTGCTGTACATAGATTTTTACTTATACTTGTTTTTAACCCTGTACTGAACCTTCTCTCTTGCCAAGGATTGATGTTCAGGGGTCTTCAAGCCTCTCCTTTGACCTCTTAGGTATATAGTTCAAGTTTCTTATTGGAAAAGCCTGCATGAAGGTGCATTAAGACTAACAAATGAATTCCCTGAATTTTCAGTTCTTGTAATTGCATACTTTGATCTTCTGAAAACATGTAAAAATATCACATACATTTTATTTTAAATATTTTATTTTTATTCATGTGTGTGCCATGTATGTGCATGTTCCTGCAGGTGCCCTAAGAAAGCATTGGATCTTCTGAAACTGGAGATACAGGATGTTCTGAGCTGCCTGATATGGGTGCTTTTAAGTGCAGAGCCATTTCAGCAGCCTGGTTTTTTGGGGGTTTTTTTTTGCATTGTTTTTTTTTGGGGGGGGGGGAGGGAGAGAGAGAGAGAGAGGAAAGAGGAGAGAGAGATGGTGTTGGATGGCCATGGAGCTAGAGTTATGGGTGGTTGTGAGCTGTCTGTTGTGGCTGGGAACCAAACTCAGGTCCTCTAGAAGAGCAAGAACAATACTCTCACCCATTGAACTGATTTCCTCCATATGCTATCCCTTTTTTTTTGTTGTTTTTGTTTTGTTTTGTCTCACAGAGATCCGCCTGCCTCTGCCTCCCGAGTGCTGGGATTAAAGGCATGTGGCTTTTATTATGTAGTCTCACCTAATCTAGCCTTCACACATAGTTCCAGCTGGTCTCAGACTTGAGGCAGTCCTCCCACTTTAGCTCCTTAGTGCTGAGAACTACACAGACTAGAGGTATATGTAGATTTCCATACCCACACCACATCCTTGTTTCTCTTTTCTTGCTATGTTTTTGGGGGTTTTTGTTTGTGTTTTGTTTTGTTTTAAAGTCAAGGTCTTCCTGAGTAGCCTCAACTCAAGAAGATCCACCAGTCTCCAACTCCTGAGTGTTGGGTTTTGAAGAATGTGCCACCGCACCCAGCTTGTTTTTTTGTTTGTTTGTTTTGTTTTGTTTTGGTTTGGTTTTTCGAGACAGGGTTTCTCTGTAGCTTTGGTGCCTGTCCCGGAACTAGGTCTTGTACACTAGGCTGGCCTCGAACTCCCAGAGATCCGCCTGCCTCTGCCTCCCGAGTGCTGGGATTAGAGGCATGCGCCACCTCCGCCCGGCTGTCTTTTTTTTTTTTCAAGTTAATACTTTATTTATGTTTTACATATGGTCACTTTATCTTTTTTGCTTTTAATCCAGAATTGGTTTACCATCATTTTTCAGTAACTTTTGGTACAAACTGAAATGTAAGAACTATAGGTTTAGAGCTTGATGATTACAGCTTAAAGCTGGAATAAACCTTTTAACTTATTTTCAAATATTGTACTTAATATTGTTATGTCTTTGGATGGAAGAGTAGAGGTGTGTCTTTGCTCTGACATAATTCTCTCCTTGCTTTTCTTCTTTTGTTCCCCCTAGCTTCCTTATTTGTAAGCCAAATAAAACATCTCCTTTCAACAAGTTTATTGAATTCTTTCTGGGACAAGCATTGTGCTGTGCTTTAGGGATATGGTAACTTAGCAAAATGGATATAATCCATAGAAATAGCCATCCTGTTCAAAGAGTTTACCTTATCAGACAAATGATTATGTTATAGCACTGCTACAGTTTTGTTTGTTTTTAATGTATACTTATGTTTTACCTGCATGTGTGTCAGTGCATCACATACATGTTTTGCCCTTGGCCAGGAGGAGGTGTCAGATCCCTGGAACTGGAGGTACAGATGGTTGTAAGCCACCATGAGTACTGTGAATAGAACCTGTATCCTCTACGAGAGTAGCCGGTGTTCTAACTACTTGAGTCATCCCTCCAGTCCAGAAACCAGTTTTGGGCTTTTTTTGTTTGTTTGTTTGTTTAATTAAATAACTTTTTTCTTGTTTTTTTGGTTTTTTGAGGCAGGATTTCTCTATGTAACAGCCCTGGCTGTCCTGCAACTCACTTTGTAGACCAAGCAACCTTCGAACTCAAGAGATCTATCTAACTGTCTCTGCCTCCCTAGTGCTGGGATTAAAGTTATGTGCCACCATGGCCTGTCATAAATAAATTTTTATTGAAGGGGTTTTGATTTCTCTGCTGTCTGTGCAGGTCACTCAGGTTCAAGATTTCTGTAACCAGCTCTTTCTTAAAGAAATGTGCTTAGTACACTTGTGCTGTTGGCTCTGTTCTGTGTCTGTCCTTGGATTAGAGACACATAGTCAGTACAACTTCAGGGATCCCCACTGGTGGATTTCTGGCAATTTCTTCAAACAATTTACTTTAGAAACTATGTTAAGGTAGATCTGTGTGCAAAGGTTACTTAGCTCTCTGTCTTCATTGTAGGAAAGAACACACATGTCTTCAAGGAAAGGCAGAGACGGCAGTCACTGAAAAATGTTCATAGCCATAGAAAAACAAATGGAAACAGACTTTTGATATTTCTTTCACTAGGTCAAAGGTCGTGATAAACATATCAATAATTTGAAAAAGAAATGTCAGAAGGAATCAGAGCAGAACCGGGAGAAGCAGCAGCGGATTGAAACCTTGGAGCGCTACCTAGCTGACCTGCCCACTCTTGAAGATCATCAGAAGCAGACCGAGCAGGTAGCAGCAGTCTCTGGGAATGCTGGGAACAAGCAGGAAGTAGCCAGGCAGGGGTCATTCCCGTTATGTAACTTATTGAAAGGAATATCTCAAAGGAGTCACGTCTGGCTAGATTTACAACTAGATGCCCGTATGTATGTATGTATGTATGTATGTATGATTTATTTGAGATACAGTCTCTGTGTAGTTCTAGCTATCTTGGGACTTATTATGAGACCAGGCTGACCTTGAACTCACAGAGATAGCCTGCCTCTGCTTACTGAGTGCTGGAGTTAGAGGTTTTCGTCACCATACCAGCCTTGTTTTATTTCTTGGAGACAGGGTCTAGTCCATGACTGGTCTAGAGCTCACTGTGTAGAGCAGACTGACCTGAACTCAAAGGGGTCTTGCTGGGATTAAAGGCATGCACCACTATACCCAGGTTAAGGACTGCAGATGTTTATGATACCCATGGCAGTCTTCCTTAGCTAAGCATGTGGTCTTGTCTCTTAGCTGAAGGATGCTGAGTTGAAGAACGCGGAACTGCAAGAGAGAGTGACTGAGCTGGAGACTTTGCTGGGGGACACCCAGGCAACCTGCAGAGAGAAAGAGGTTCAGCTGGAAAGCCTGAGACAGAGAGAAACAGAATTTTCCTCTGCAAGACATAGGTAAATGCCCTTTAGACTTGAGGGAAGGAGATAGTTTCATCCTGGTACAGTGTTAACTACCCTTGCTTGCTTACTGATTTGATTTTGAGTGAATGTGTAAACCCCTTCTCTTCTTAGAGCTTTGTTTTCTTTGGATTGTGACTAGTGGGAAAGTTGCTTATGGGCAGAAAATCTGTCGTTGTGGTGAAGTGGGGTTTTATCATAGTATGATTGGGAAAACACTTCTGTCTTAAGGTTCCTATTGCTGTGAAGAGACACCATGACCATGGCAATGCTTATAAAGGAAAACATTTAGTTGAGGTGGCTCGCTTACAGTTTCAGTTCAGTCCATTATCATCATGATGGGGAGCATGTCAGCATGCTGGCAGACGTGGTGCTGAAGCTGAGAGTCTTAAATCTTGCAGGCAACAGGAAGTCAGTTGACACACTGGGCGGTAGCCGGAATATAGGAAACATCAAAGCCTGCCCCCAGAGAGACACACTTCCTCTAACAAGGTCATGCCCACTCCAACAAAGCTACATCTCCTAATAGTGCTCCCCCTTTGAGATTATGGGAACCAGTTACATTCAAAGTACCACACCATCTCAGTGCCTGTCACAAAAACCTTAAGAGCCAGGCATGGTAATGCACACTTTTAATCGCAGAGACAGACAGATTTTGAGTTTGAGGCCTAGGTAGGCCTCAAATTATGTAGACCTAGTTTACATAATTCCAGGCCAGCTTGTGCTACATAGTGAGACTGTCTCAAGAGGAAAATAGTTTATAGAGTAGGAAATGAGATAGTCTATATTTTCAGAAATATATCCTAGTTCTATAGAAGACTTACGGATTATCCACATTTTGAGTCTGTAAGCTAAATACTACCAAGAATATCTATTTCTCATCAGTGCTCAGAATTGATTTTTGTTTGGTTGTTTTTTAGTGGTATATGTTTGAGATAAGGTCTTACTCTGTAATCTTGGATGGCCTAGAGCTCACAGAGATCCTCCTGCCTCTGCCCACCCCTGCTGAAATGCTGGGATCAAAGATGTGAGTCACCACTCGCAGCCCTCAGAATTGTTTCTGGTTGCTAGGATAGTCTCTGAAACAAGAGAAGATGCTGTGGTGTAGTCTTGGGAATTCATAACAATTTCTGAAAAGGATGATTGTGTTTCAGCAACCTCTTGGGCTAAATGTTTCTAATTGGTAGATTGGATTTCTTATCCTGTATTCAGATACTGTGATCGTCTTGTTTATCTCGGTGGGTCACAGTAGAAGTGATTACAAGGGGGGCTGGAAAGATGGCTCAGAGGTTAAGAGCACTGACTGCTCTTCTGGAGGCCTTGAGTTCAATTCCCAGCAACCACATGGTGGCTCACAACCATCTGTAATGAGATATGATGCCCTCTTCTAGCCTGCAGGCATACGTGGAGGCTGAACACTGACTTGATAAATAAATCTTTTTTTAAAAAAAAATGATTACAAGGGGCCAATTGGAGGAAGTATTGGGTGGAGTCAGAATTGGAGGACTGTTGTTTCATCTCTGTTGCTGTGATAAAAATGCACTGACTAAAAGCAGTATCAGGGACGAAAGGCTTTATTTCATCTCCTGCTTCCATTGGGAGAAAGCAGGGACCTAGAGAAATGCTGCTTACTAGCTCTGTCACAGACTCATGCTAGCTTCTAACTCTGTTGGACACCAGACTGGCCTCCAACTCACAGAGATCCACTTGCCTCTGCCTCCCAAGTGTTGGGATTAAAGGCGTGTGCTACCACCACCTGGATCAAATCTTATTAATCAAAACAGAATGCAAGAGTCTTTGGCAAATAAGGAATTGATGGTATATTATATAGATTCTGGCCCCTAAAAAAGGAAACCGAATGCATTGAGTATCTTTTCTCAGAGATAACCTGTATCACATCATCCTCAGCTTTGGAAGGAAGGTGGAACTGTTTTGCTCCAAAGACAGAAAATAATAGAACCAAGAACCAAAGCCACAATGATTCTGATTTCATAGTTCAAGAAGAATACTTTTGCCGGGCGGTGGTGGCTCACGCCTTTAATCCCAGCACTCGGGAGGCAGAGGCAGGCGGATCTCTGTGAGTTCGAGACCAGCCTGGTCTACAAGAGCTAGTTCCAGGACAGGCTCCAAAACCACAGAGAAACCCTGTCTCGAAAAAACCAAAAAAAGAAGAATACTTTTTCTTTCAGCTTGCAAGATAAACAGTCTGTGGAGGATGCGAGTGAAGAAGGTCTCCCAGAGGAAATGGAATCCCAGCAAAAGGAATGTGATTCCCTCCGAAAGGTGATTAATGGTTTCTGGGCTCTGGCCTGGGTAGATTGGGAGTAAAGAAGAGATTGTGTACTGGGAAAAAAACAGGAATTGTGTCTTAAGCCACCTAGGGATCTGCTCCCAAGAGCTTTTCTCTCTTCTGAGAAGTAAGCCCTGTATAGTAAGTTTGTATTTTAGGTATTCAGTCTTATATCAAGTAAGTTGCTTATTATGAATACATGCAAAAGCTAGGGTCATCATGCCCCTCAGATGAATCAAAATGATGTATTGAAGCCCAGGTGCCCTGCAGTCATGTTTCAGGTCCTGGAGAAACTGAACTGCTAAAGATCATCAGAATGTTATAACCAATGAGGTAGCCCAGTTTCTCAACTCAGCAAATAATAGAGATCCAGTAACCTGCTGGTAAGACAGGTTACAGGTTAGCAGAAATGGGTCAGAGACTTAGCTCTGGAGGCACAGAAAGCTGGGACTATTTGTGTTCTCTGCTTGGATAGGTTACTATGAACAAAACTCTCAACTCATACCCATTGTAGCTCTGGATAGGGAGACTCAGAAAGCTAAATTTGTCCTTTTCCAAAGAACCTTGATGTGTACTGGGTATGTATAAAGTTAATTCCACTGACCTGCAGTTAATTAGGTGAAGGTCCCTTACCCTAGAAGTGCTCATGTGGACTATTGCAGTTCTCTGTAAGACTCTGACTAGAACACAGAGTCCAAGGTCTGTGGAAGCAGGTAACGAAGACTGGGAGTCCGAGTTAGATTTCTGTAGGCCATGCTAACCAGTCCTCACCGCGGTCTTAGAACGGGTGGTAGCTGGCATTGGATCAAAGATCCTCACACACATCAGCCTTGTGCTTGTAGCCTTTCTTGCTTTCTTGATAACTTTGCCTTTCAGATCGTGGAGAGGCAACAGCTGAAGATAGAGCAGCTGCACTCTCAAATCCAGGTGAGCAGGAGGCTTTGGCCCATGGTGGATAGGACTTAAATGGTGGAAACTTGGAATTCAGCTTAACCTTTCATTGCCTTCTCAGCCATGTAATTTGCTTGTTGTTTGGTATACAAGAAGAATGAAACAGTGCTTTTGAACCTCCTGTCTTGCTGAGGAGACAGAGGATAGACATTTAAGCACAGTTCTCTGCGAGCCAGTCTTATACCACCTTAGGGGTGAACTCAGAAGAGTTTGTGTAAGGAGGGGAGGTCAAGGACAAGTTTCTGGAGACCCTGAGCATGAATGATGTCTCCTTAGCTAGGCAAAGAGGAGCTGAGTAGGATGGTAGGAGGACATCATGAACCTGTAAAGCAGTTTGATACTAATGAAGTACAGCCATGTACTGCCTGCCAGCGGGGACACATTGTGAGAAATGTCAGATGCTTTCATCTGTGTGAACATTAGTGTATACTATTTTCTTTAGTGGGTGATGGGAATCTTATTAGAGTGTTTAGTTATGGTGTGATATGCTGAGGTTTGCAGTTCAGGCTCTCCTGGAAGATTGATATCCTAGAAAGAGACAGCCAGGGACTGTTGCAAAAAATCTAGTGAAGCGATGTGGAATGTGGCCAAGGCTTGGTAACAGGGATCTAAGAAGACAGATGAAAGTAACTCTTTGAAGGAGTCAGTGACTGACAGGAGCAGGGGTTTGAAAAATAGGAAAGGCCGGGCGATGGTGGCGCACGCCTTTAATCCCAACACTCGGGAGGCAGAGGCGGGTAGATCTCTGTGAGTTTGAGGCCAGCCTGGTCTAGAGCTAGTTCCAGGACAGGCTCTAAAGCTACAGAGAAACCCTGTCTCGGAAAAAAAAAAAAAAAGGAAAGAACCAGCGATGACTCCTGGTTCCTATTTTGGGCCGGAGTAGGAGTGTTCATTAATTGTATTCTCCGAGAAATCTTGAGTGAAATAGATTTACTCGGGTTTTTTGAACTCTGAAAGGTTTTACCCCAGGGGCTAGAGTTACGGATTAATAGAAAAAGCACTTCTTGTGTGTCAGGACCAAAGTTCTGATCCCAGCACCATGCCAGTGCTAGGTGAGTGTGACAGCCCAGCTGTAATTCCAGTGCTAGTCGTTGAGCCAGATGCAGGATGAGCTGGAGAGAAATCAAGAAAAGACACATGACCCTCTGACCTCCACACACAGTGTACATGTGCATGTTTACTTACACACATGCAGACCCACACAGGTAACACACACTATATATGTGTGTGATATACATACATACATACACACATACATACACATACATACACACACATACATATACATACATACATGCGCACATACATACGCACAAAATAAAAGGGTTTCACACCAAATTGGAAATGCAGCAAAGAAGCTGCAGCTACAGGCTTGCCTTTCCAGCTGTGTCTGTGTAATTCATCTCTTTCAGTTCTTATTGTTGGGAGATAGTCACACTTGGTGAGCATTTAAAATGCCGGGGCTTTAGGTGTTAATGGCTCATTAAGTGAAAGGGTTTAAGTCGGTGGTTCTCAGCCTGTAGGTCAAGATCCCTTTGGGATCAAAAGACGCTTTCACAGACCTAAGACTATCTGAAAGTACAGATATTTACATTATCATTTATAACACATTAAAGGGTTGCAGCATTAGGAAGGTTGACAGCCCTGGTTTAAATGGAAAGTGACAGGTCCAAGCTCTTCTCATAATCACCCTTAAAGCAGCTGTGTGGCAGGGTGGGCTTCACTGTGTAGCCCAGGTGAGAGTTGATACCGTCCAGATCAGATCTAATACCTTTGGTAGTTCTGCACAATATCTCACTGTGTGGTCTCTAGAGCCTAAAGGAAGAATTAGCTCAAGAAGAAGGAATAAGCCAGGCCCTGAGAGAGGAGGCACAGAGGAGGGAGACAGCCCTGCTGCAGATGCGCACAGCCGTGAAGGAGGTAAGCATTGACTGGGTCCATAGAGCCTCCACAAATCTGATTTCTCTGTCTGCCCACCCCATTCTTACCCTAAAAGAGTGTAGAAGGGACTGTGAGCTTCTTAACAAAGGAATGGATAGTAACATTGCATTATCTTGTATATTAAAGGCCCTAGAACTGTTTTAGAGTGGCCATAGTCACCCGGGAATGCTTTTTAGATGTGAGATTCCCTCCTTTTCTCCCTCCCCACACAGTCTTCCTACAACCACAGGTTTATGGGATTGGAGGCAGGGGAGGTCAAGACAACTGAGGGAGCAAGGTACAGCTTTACGTATGTGTAATCCTAGCACTTGGGAAGTTGAGGCTGAGTTCAAGGCATGCCTGTCTCACACACAGACAGCCCTCAAATGAAGATTTGGTGACACCCGTGTAATGAGTAGAGCTGTTAATAGCTCCACAGAGTTCACTGGCCCAGTGTCTAGGAAGACATCTCCCAGAACGAGGATTGTGATGTGGCCCAGTGTAGGTGAAGGGCAGAGACCAGAGGTGGGACATGTGGAGGGGAGGCTTTCAGGAAGAGGGAAGGCAACGACAGCCTTATATAAATAGCCGCTCTGACCAGGCGGTGGTGGCTCACACCTTTAATCCCAGCACTCGGGAGGCAGAGGCAAGCGGATCTCTGTGAGTTTGAGGCCAGCCTGGTCTATAAGAGCTAGTTCCGGGACAGGCTCCAAAGCTACAGAGAAACCCTGCCTCGAAAAACAATAGATTAGATAGATAGATAGATAGATAGATAGCCGCCCGCTTTGTATAGGAAATCCTAACTGTACTTCAGGGAGAGTTTGAAATGTAGAATGCTAGAATTCTACCTCCCTGGAGGACAAGAGGATGACTACAAGTTCAAAGCCAGTCTGGTTTACTACTCTGTATCAAACAAAGGAGCAAAGATGGGTTAGGGAATATAGTTCAATTGATAGGGTACTTGTTTTGCATGCGTGAAGCCCTGAGCTATAAACTAGGGGTAGTGGTACATACTTGTAATCCCTACACTTGGAAGGTAAAGGAGACAGGAGGATCAGAAGTTCAAGGTCATCCTCAGCTGTGTAGGAAGTTTGAGGCCAGACTGGGTTATGTGGCTTTGTTATAATACCCTGTCTCAGAAATAAAGGGGTGAGGGTGGGGACAGGCTGGTCTCTCACTTTCCCAGCCCCACACCCAGCTAGCACTCCTACTCTGCCCCTTGCCCCTCTCTATTCCTCTGACAGCCTGTTATCAGGCTGGCTGCTGGCCACTTTCGTCAGGGTGGCAGGGCGAGATTGAAACCAGTGTCTTCTCAGATTTCACTGTTCATGTTCAGCCATCTCTAATAGCCTAGCTAACAGAGTTGGCTGAAGGACTGGCTTCAGATAGAGTTCCTAGGGGGTGGGAGCATCTTCTCTGGTTCCTGGACTGAAACCTGGAGGCTGATGACTCAGATCCTGCTGAGGAATAGTTTCCTCTCCAGTCCTGGGTCCCTAAGGGCCTGGGCTCAGCCTACACACAGGAGGAGCTAGTGTTTGTAGAGGGGATGCTAGGGGTTGTAGGGAGGGGAAGGTGGCTCAAAGCCTGTGTGGGTAACAATGGGGAGTAACAATGTGACTAAATTTCCCCTTCACACCCATGCGCATTCAAATACACAGATCCTTGCCTCTCTTTGGGTCTTAATCAGTTATCCATCTGTTTGCTTAGCTCTCAGTGCAAAACCAGGACCTGATCGAGAAGAATCTAACACTGCAAGAGCACTTGCGCCAGGCCCAACCAGGGTCCCCGTCTTCATCAGATGCGGCCCCGCTGGCTTATGAGCTGCACCAGGAATTGGCCATTTGCCTTCAAGATCTGCAAGCTGTCTGCAGCATTTTGACCCAAAGGGCCCAGGGCCATAACCCTAACCTCTCTCTGCTCCTAGGCATTCACTGTGAGTCATCAAAAGGGCCTTCATTCTCTCACCCATCCAGCTTTGCTATCCTTATGGTAATTGTGAACCAGGTGCATAGGTCTGGCCATTCATTGCCTTGTGGGAGTTGGCAAAGTAAGTGTTCATTAAGTGTTTCACAAACAGGCCTCCTTAGAGGATGCTTGCATGGAGGACAAACAGAAAGCAGGCCTTAGGCAACAAATTATCAGCTCACTATTTCCAGCCTTTATTTGTTTTTTTCCTTTTGGTATTTCGAGACAAGGTTTCTCTGTGCAGCCCTGACTATCCTGAAACTCACTCCATAGACAAGCTGGCCTCAAAGTCACAGAGATCCGCTTGCTTCTGCCTCCTGAGTGCTGGGATTAAAGGCATGTGCCACCACCACTCAGCTACCAGCTTGTTCTTTTAAGTGTCATGTCTGAAAATGGGGGTGGAGGGGAGCTGGCAAGATGCCTGGATCTTCAGGTCTCTTACCTTTCCCCACCCCACACCCAGTGACCGCTAGCAGTCTTACTGTCTCCCTTGCCCTCTATTCCTCTGACAGCCTGTTATCAGGCTGGCTGCTGGCCATTTTGTCAGGGTGGCAGGGGAGGATAGAAACCTAAGTTAGGAGCTTTAGTTTGTGGTTGAATCCTTAGTATAAGCAAAATCCTGGTTCAGTCCTTAGTACTGGAGGGGGAAAACTGTGTCCTAAGATCATAGCGCTTTAAGAACACCTTACTCCTTTAATCCCAGCACTCGGGAGGCAGAGGTAGGCAGATGAGTTTGAGGCCAGCCTGGTCTACAAGAGTTAGTTCCAGGACAGGCTCCAAAGCTACAAAGAAACCCTGTCTCAAAAAACAAACAAGAAAAAAAAAAAAAGCTTACTAGTCTTGCCATTCCTCATGAAGTTTCAGTCAACTGATTGTCTACCACTCTTAAAATCCTCTTCTCCTTAGCCACCCAGCTCCCAGGAACTCCGCTAGATTTGCAGAAGCCAGACGTAATCAGGAGAAAACTAGAAGAGGTTCAGCAGCTGCGTCATGACATCGAGGACTTAAGGACCAGCCTGTCAGACAGATATGCCCAGGACATGGGAGAAAACTGTGCCACACAGTGAGGAGTGCCAGGGAGGACCTGGCTGCTACTAGCCTCGTCAGAAGGTTCCTGCCTGACAGTCCTGCCTGCTGCTGCACGCAGAGGGGAGCCTGTGTCTTGGTCAGGGCTGATGTGAAGAGTCTGCCTGTTTTGCTGTACACTGGCTTTGCCTTACTGGGTTATGTTTACCTGTTACCTTACTCTCCAAGGCTGAGTTACTAATTAACCTTTTTGCAGATTCAACTGATAAATCAGAAGCAAACAGGCTGCTCACCTCCCTCTCCATCCTCCAGGACGATCCATGTTCATTCCTGCGCCACACCTTGGTCCTGCTGATCCTCTACTAAGATAGGCCTAGGAGGTTAGGTAGGAGTAGCAACCTTTTGAGGATTCTCGGGCCTCGTGTGTCAGCCTTCCTGGGAAATCAGCTGGCTTTCTGGGTTTTCTCAGGCACCTGCTTCCTCAGGACTGTTATTCCCACAGAGGCCTCAGGGTTTTCTACCCCTTAGCAAAGTCCCCCTAGGATTGCTGGCTTAGGGACTGCAGCAGGGCTCCTCAGCCTGCCTGCTGTGCTGTCTTTTACAGAAAGCTGTGTGCCCCTGGAGCCCTGGCATGTGGTCAGCGTAACCTCCTTCACTCGGGCCTTCCAGGTAGCCGCCTCATTTGGGCTAAGTGCAGACTCCTCTGGTATTGCCCTGTGGTTCCCAGGTTGGATAGTCATTTCCCCAGAAGACCACAGGGCAATTGTCAAGCTGTTCACCCTTTCCCAAGGTTAGGGCTGTAACTAGCCCTGATTTGTGCCTCTTGTTTGGGGTTGGGGGGAATTTCCTTTTCCCTCTCTGACTCCTTGAGAGTTCAGAGCTTCTAGTGTGGGTCATCTCTAAAATAAAAGTGTTCAGTGTTTCCTGAGGTTCTGTGTTTCATGAGGGCCTTTGGACCCTCAGCTTTTTGGTTTTTCTTGCCTCCTGATTTAGGGATGGTCTCAGTTTTATCTGGTTGTTGGGCCAGCCCTGAACCTCTAGTTTGAGGGTTTCAGAGGCAGCCATGACAGGACTTTTGCTTGTTGAAAGGTTCCTGGACCTCCAGGGCTGGCCCGAGTGGCCTTCTTTTTTTTTTCCTACATTTTGTGTTTTATTTATGGATGGCTTACCTTCAGAGTAGCCACAGCTGGCTGGATACCTCAGCCTCTGGGCTTCTGCCTCCTAAAACCAGAGCTGCCTGGTTGGTGTCCACCTCTACGTCATTGGGAGCCCAGCCTCCATGCTCACGGGTATTTTTTTTCTTTGTAAAGTTTATAAAGTTATTTATATGAATCTTTGTTATGTCAACTGGTTTGTATTGCCTATTTTGATTACAGAATAAAACATTTAACAGATGCTTCAGTTTCTCGTTGCCTCCCGGCACCCCTTGCCCAGCCCTCACTTTGTTTTATGAAGCCAAAGACTAGTTCACTGGCTTCAGGCAGATCCAGCTTGCTGTCTGAATCTCTTCCCACTTCTGCTTTGTCCGGGCGGGGACAGATGAAGTCTGCCCACACTCCCCACCAGCCAGTGGTCACTGCAAAGTTAAACCAGACCTCGGAAGTCAGCAGCTTCTGAGTTTCTGAGGACGTAACTTCCCCATAACCAGATAGTTTGCTTCAGAGGGCAGGGCTGGCTTCCGGGGCTTTCACCAATATAGTCCTAGCTCTACTGAGGGGAGCTATAGTGAACCTAACCGCTTGCTCCAAAATTGGGATGAGTGCTGGACTCTATCCCACCTCATCAGCTTAATTCCTAATATTTAAAGCCATGGGGTGTCATTTTCAACAAGAGTTGAACTGGGACTGCCCCAAAACTAGCTATGGATCTCTACCAAGGGCCAGTTGGAGGCAGACTTTGAAGACGTGGCACTAGTCTTTGCCTCTATACACCAGTGAGCTGTCCTGCAGCTTCTTACCTCCTTCTCCATCTGGCTTCTGAAGGGTGTGGCCCCAGTTTACAGCCACCACCCTTTCTTGTCAGAGCCTGTTTGAGTGGAGGTGCTTGAGGGAAAGTGTCGTGGCTGCAGTGCCCCTCCCAGCGCCCCCACCATGCCACCGCCGCCCTTGCTGAGGTTCCTGAGCTTGGAAACTGCCCCTCCATCAAAAGTTCCATACTGAGCTGTACTATTAAGGGACCTCCTGGAGACAAGGGTGGCACTGCGCTGAGCACTGGATGTTCAAAACCCGGGTAAACTGGGAAAAGTTTTTAACCGAACCATTCTGCCATTTGGTCCCTCCCCAGCCACAGGCAGTGAGCCCCAAGTCCGAAAGGGCTGACCGCAGCCAACAGCTGCTAAGGAGGGGGGTCCTCTGGGCTCCAGGCCACGGAGCAGAGCAGGGAGGGCGCCTCCAGCGCAGGGCGGTGTCATGCAGGCCCCGCCTTGCCCTCCTGCGCAGCTCATTGGCCCCGCAGCTCATTGGCCCCGAGCGCACTGCCTCGCGGGCGGAGCAGGAAGGAAACCGCTCCCAAGCGCGGCGGCAGCGTCGTTCCTTGCAGTGCAGCTGCCGCTCCCACCATCCCTCGGTTGGTTTTGCGTGTCCCCTTCCTGCAGCATGAGTGGTCTGCGCGTCTACAGCACGTCGGTCACCGGCTCTCGTGAAGTAAGTGTGTGCCTGGGCGGGCGCCCGGGGAAGGCGGGCGGTCTCCCTGTGCTCCCAACCGGCTCCCGGGAGCCGCCCCCACGATGGAGGCAGTGAGGTGCAGGGTATGGCCTCCCTCTAGTCCGGGGGACGCGGCCCACTCTGTCCCTCCACACATCAGGGAGCCTTCGGCATCCCAGCATGAGCTTCCCACTCCCATCCACCATTATGGGGTCACCCATTCTCTTGTACACCCCCTACACACACCTCCTTAATCCCCGCTTCCTCTCCACTGTGAGGCTGTGGAGGAGGGTTTTTCTGCTGTAGGGCCTGGCTCTAGCGAGTCCAGCTTCCCTGACTTACCCAGGACTTGGCTGTCTTCTCTGAGACTCCTGTAGGTGATCCCTTCATCCTTGGACCCTTCCCATCCCTTAGTGCCCAGAATCTCCCCGTAGAGTGGGCAGGAGGACAAAAGCTCCTGCTAACACCGGACCAGAGTTCCTTCCATAAATTTTCCAGCTTGCCTGCCGACTGTGTCAATCCTCTGCCCCTAGATCAAGTCCCAGCAGAGTGAGGTGACCCGCATCCTAGACGGGAAGCGGATCCAGTACCAGCTAGTGGACATCTCCCAGGACAACGCCCTCCGAGATGAGATGCGAGCCCTGGCGGGCAACCCCAAGGCCACCCCACCCCAGATTGTCAACGGGGACCAGTACTGTGGGGTATGGGGTTTGGGGTTTGGGGTCTGGGAGGTGTTGGAGGACTTGCAGCCAGGGTCAGACCTGGGTAAAGCAGTAGGGTCCCCTGCATCTGCACTCAGGTGACTACCTCCTCCCCCAGGACTATGAACTCTTCGTGGAGGCCGTGGAACAGAACACACTGCAAGAGTTCCTGAAACTGGCCTGAGCAGGGATGGCCACAGTCCCTACCAACTCCTCACCAGGCCTTGAGGGACCTTGTGACCAACTCCCTGTCATTCCTAATCTGACCTTGGAGTCTTTCCTTGCAAACCCAAGCCCTTTCTGTGTCCTCCCCCTTCCCGCAGAGGCAGCATTCCTTACTCACCAACTGGTCTCAGAGATTGTCTTAAGCACAGCCCCAGTGCTGGCTTGTCCCCAGCCAGGCTTTGGGGCTACCTCCCTGCCTGGCACTGCCTAATGGGTATTTCTCTTAGTTCCGTCAGTCAGGGCTCTGCCAAAGGCCCCGCACTCCCCGCTTGGGAGCATCCTAGAGACTATTAAATGCCCGTTCCACTGGAGCAGCCTGTCTGGTTGTGGTGTCCTAGGTCCCTGCGTGGCAGAGGTGGTGGTTCTGGTTGGCTCAGAGCAGTGCTAAAGTGTTGCTGCCTCTGTGTGTGCGTGTGAAGCATGTGCTTGTCTGTGTCTGGCAACATGACCATGGCTGACATGGCCTTTCTCGACATGGTAGCTGAGTCACCCTCAATTCCCATGCAGGTTCTGGTGTTCACCTGCCTGCCTGACAGTGAGGGTGGCTGCCCCAGAACTGCCTCCGGTTGGAGGGAGACTGTGTTGGAGGTGGTTTGGTGTGGGCATCACGGGAGGTACAGCTGCAGCTGCATCAGACTGGGAGCATGGAGGTGGTGGTGGCAGTGGTTTGTACACAGTATGGAGAAAGTGTCTGCATGAGCATCGGGCTGTTTTCAGAGGCCTTTCCTCCAGTGAAGCTTCCCTGCCCCAGCTGAGACAATGCCAACCCACTTAGCACAGCTTGGGAGAAAAAGGAACCTAGGGGACAAAGAGCCAGATGGGGCTCCAGTTACAGGCCTGAGCATCTGTACCACCCCCTTCCTAGCCCAGCCTTCCCTCAAGACAGCCCTGTCTAGAGAGCCTGTAGAGCTCATGTCAGGGGCGGCACTTTATTCAGGGAAGTGAGCCTGGGCCAGCGTGGGGGCCAGAGCCAGTACCAAAGCTGGGGTTTGATGGCTGGGCTCTTGGAGCCCGTAACAGCAGTGTTGCATTGGGAACCAGGCCTGCGGCCTTCAGGGTGAGTGCATCATCCTGGTAGACCGTGGGTGGAAAGGTGCTGAAGATCTCAAAGGTGGCTGCGTCCATGTCCCTGGGTTGTTCATCAGAGTACATCAAGTTAGGCCATGGGACCAGGGACGCCCTGCAGCCCCCAGCCCTGCCTCATACCCACCTGGCCTTTGCTAAGAGGTTGCGCACGTTGCCTATGGTGTCCTCAGGCCGCATCATCAATAAGAAGGCCTGCTCCCCATTCTCAGACTTGATGCGCAACATAGAGAGCGGAGGCACTGGCATGGTGGGTGACTCCTGGCTCCTGCAGGTCCAAAGGCCCTCAGTGCTCCCCAGCTCCCAGGTCCTTTCCCCTCTACCCTGCTCTCACCTCTGCCCAGCCCTCACCTCTGCCGCTCAGAAGCCAAGGCAGGTGTCTCCACTATGATCTCCTGGATCCGGGCAGGCATTGGGCAGCAGCTCTGGAAAGCAGCCATGAAAAGTGGACGGAGCCCTAGGTCCCACCTACATCGTTCCCTCCACCCTTAGAGAGGACCGGCTCATTCTTGAGCAGGAATGGAGGAGCCCGTGAGCCAGAGAGCTGGCGTGTTGTGTGTAAAGGGAAGGAGGCTCTGGAAGGCAACACCATCATTCTTCCGGTCCGATGTAAGAGACAAGCCCACCCAGATGATGGCCAGGCTTGGGGACCTAACCTAGCCTTAGCTCAGGGAAGACACTGAGCTGAGCCTGAAGGATGAGTAGCAGTTATCTGAAATGGAGCAGGGCAAGGACTCCCTACGGCACAAAGATCCCAAGCAACAAGAGCCTGAAAGAGGGATGCAGTCGGGGGCCTGGCAGCAGTTTACAGGTCTCGAAGCAAGGAAACAAGGAGACAGGAGAGAAGGGAGGGAAGGCAAGAAATGGGGAGGGCACTGGTACAAAATGTTCAGGGCCAGGATAAGGGCCTTGGCTTTCTCCAAGAATCTCCAGGCAGTCCCTGCTGAGGGCCATGGCTAGCAGGAGCAAGAGGGCGGTGGGAAGGTCAGCACAGAAAAGGTATGAGACACCCTGCAGCCTAGACTAGGGAGGTGGGCTGCAGCCAGGAGCTCGAGGGGTGGCCAGACTGGACAAGACAACTTGGGCAAAGGAGATGAGTCGGAGACAGCCTTGGGTGGAGACCTGGGGAGAAGAGCGGGATGATGGCAGAAGATAATGAACTCGTGGCATCTGAAAGGCCTGTGGGACAGTTGAGAAGGAGCTCCTAGGCCAAGCTCAAGGACATGCCCCAGGCTCGTCCCCTCACCCCAGCTGCCCTGTGGAGTAGAGCACCAGCTCCACAGAGACTACAGTTCTGAGGGTGCGCTTGCCATCCTGACCTCTGCTTGGGCCTTTAGGCCCGAGCCTCTGGGCAAGACACTGTAGGCTGAGCCAAGGTTGGTGAAAAAGTCCCCTGCAGAAAGCTGGGGAATTAGGGCAGGCCTCACCTGCAAGGTGTCCCTGATGGGGCCCCGGATGTCAATCACCTCGCCTTGTCGGATGACACACTTGGGAAGCCTGTTCAGGAATTTCTCAGCAGTCATCCTGGAGCCTGCAGAGAGGGCATCGGGAACCTTAGCCCAGGAGGGACAGCAAGGTCTGGCAGAAGCCACCTGGACTTGCTCTGCACAGCCCCCCAGCCAGCCGTGGGGCCCAGCTTACCTGAAGTATCCTCCACCCTGTCCGAGGCCTTGCGCATTTTCTGCCGGCCCACCACTCGACCCTCACCTGGGAAGGAGCCCAGCCCATCCTCTG